GATCAAATTTTTATACACGTAAAGCTGAGCAATTACTCCAAAAACGTTGAGTAAAAGCAAAAACTTTTTTTTTATTCACCCAGCTTAATAAAAAAGAGCCAGTTCTGAATAACAATTATAACATTTTACAGTTAGTATAAAGATGATTTTAATGCATTTTGTAGAATAATTTTTATAGCGTTTCTAATGATGAAAATTAAAGTTAGATCATTTTAAACAAACATTAGATATAAACATTAAATATAAGTTTTTTTGAAAAATATAATTGAGAAAAAAAAGGAACATTTTTAAAAAATGATTTTTTTACTGTATTACTCCTTAAGCTATAAAAATTTAAAATATGTTTTTGACATTACTTAAAAGATGTTAAATCGCACCAAATAAATTTTTTTATGTTAAAATTATGTATAGTTCAATTTAAAATGACCGTCATTGTTTATAAAAAAAAGAGACCAAAATTTACAAATAAATACACTTTTAAAATGAAAAAAGTTAGATTAGATTAGATTAGATTAAAATTTATCAGAACAGTGATACATGTTCTAAAGGACACGCAGGTCCATAAAACACGAAGGACTCTGACAACGTACCCTAGAATCACACAATACAAATGCTAGATAATTTAAAATATATATTACAACTGTGTATAAGACCATAGTTATAAAACAAAAACCAGTTAGCCGGAACAGTATTTTTCAAAGTCGATAGAGTTAATTTTAATTTTGAAGCTCTTTATATTTTCATTCACGACGTCAGACGGCAATTTATTCCAAATAATAACAATCCTGAGTGAGAAAGAGTGTTTACGGACATCGAGTTTACATTTTAGTTTGCGTAATTTGAAATTATGTCCTCGAGTGTAAATGTAGTTGTTAAATAAAAAGAAACTTGATTTATTTAGGCAAACTAATTTGTTCAGAATTTTGTAACATGTAATCATGTTTTGCTTAAGGTGACGAATTTCTAGAAGTTCCAAACCAAGAATACTAAGTCTACTTGAATATGAAACATTACTTAGGTTAGAAATTCTCTTCGTAAAACATCTTTGTACTCTCTCCACTGTATTGTTCATTTCAGTGCGATTTGGCGAACAAACCGGAGAGCAATATTCTAAGATCGGTCTTATATAAGTAGTGTAGGCTTTAACGATAACACGTGTATCACGACTTTTTAAACACTTAAGGATTAGATATCCTCGAATGTTTGATGCGAGGACGATATTTGAAATATGATTACTGTAATTTAAGTAAAAATCCATGGTCACACCAAGATCTTTTGGGTTTGTAGACCAAGTTAAACTATGATCGCCTAATTGATAGTTGTAACTTATATCTTTACAAAATGAAGTAGGTGCTATTCTATGAGTAAAGCACTTATTATTGGCTATTTTTAATTGCCATTTTTTTGACCAGAGATAAACTTTATAAATGGCTGCAGCAAGATTGTGACTGTAATCGGCATCCTTAAACGAACTATATAACTTGATATTGTCAGCATATAACATTAGAGAGCAATTAAGATCTTTTACTATAGAGGGTAGATCATTAATATATAACAAGAATAACGTTGGACCCAAAACGCTACCCTGTGGAACTCCACTTAGGATGCTGGTTGGATTAGATAGTGAATTTCCAACCAGAAACCTTTGATATCTGTTAGAAAGAAATGCTAATATCCAATGAAGCAGATTATCTATTATGCAGTACATTGCAAGTTTCTTCAAAAGTTTTGGATGAGGTACAGAGTCAAATACTTTTTGAAAGTCAATGTATACCATGTCAGTAATTAAATTGCTGTCTAAATCTTTATTCCAGTCATTACTTGACTCTAGAAGATTTGTGCACGTAGATCTTTTGGATAAAAAGCCGTGTTGATTAGGTGTTATCAGATTATTTATATTAAGATAATCAGCGATACTTAAACTAACAATACTTTCCATGACACGACAGCTAGTACATGTAAGGGAGATAGGTCTATAATTGTTAGCATCTGAAGTAGATCCTTTTTTTAAAATAGGGGAAACCGTAGCTTGAAGCCACTGTTTTGGTAACAAGGTTGACGTAAAACTTGATTCAAATATATATGAAAGCGGAATACATATTATATGTGCTAACTGTTTTAAAAGTATATTTGGTAAACCGTCAGGTCCAAATGATGTGCTAGGTTTTAGATTTTTTAGTTTTTGATAAACTATCTTTGCTGAAAAATCTACGAAATTCATTTTAATATTTTCACTAACAAAAGTATTTATTTTAGGCAAAATTCCGTCATCTACGGTAAAAACACTTCCAAAGTGTATGTTAAACACTTCCGCGATTTCAACATTAGTAGTAGTAAAGTTGCTATTTGTTTTTAGAGGATATATTTTTTTGGAGTTGTTTAGATTTTTATTTACATAACTAAAAAACTTACTTAAGTTATTTTCTTTGACCAGTTTTAGTTCCACATTTTTGCGGTGTGTGGATATGGCTTTTTTACATTTTGATGCATATTGGATAAATGCCTTTTTTTGCAAGGTGGTCTTTGTGATTGACCAGAAAAGATTTGCGAGTTAGCATTTTATAAATTTATTTTGGATAAGAACGACTTTTTTTCTTATGGTATATTGTTCTGATTGGAACAAAACAATCAATACCTTTACGAAGATGATTAGAAAAGATGTTTCAATACTCTTCAGTTGTAAAAACAAAAGAAAAATCAAAGTCCCAATTTATTTTTGATAAATAAGAATTAAAAGCAATTACATCTGTATTTTTGAAATCGTAAAAAGATTCAGAGTTTGTTTCGGGCTGATAATAATTAAAGGTATTTATATAAAAAAAGACTGAGTTATGGTCACTTGAACTAAATAGACACTCAACAGAAATATTACTTAACAGGGAAATGATATTTGAAAGAACAAGATCAAGAATATTATTTTCTCGAGTGGGCTCCAGTACATATTGGTACATACCAAGATTATTTACCAAAGTTAAAAAAAGATTATGACATTTCTCATTTGGCGAAACGTAGTTAACCCAATCAATTTTCGGTAAGTTGAAATCTCCCACAATGACAAACTGAGGAACAGATTTACAAGATTTCTAATTATCGAAATCATTGATTCAAGATAGATATAATCATCAAGAGAATAGGACGGTGGACGGTAACAAGTAATTAAGCGGAGTTTACTATACCCAAAAATTAAATCAACACAAATGATGTCAATATCTTTGTCAGTTTGAGTAATACTTACTAACGTCATTTTTGCAGTATATAGCTATACCACCGCCAATTCGTACCCGGTCTTTACGATAAATGGAATAATTTTTTGGACAGACCATGGAGTTCGGGAGTTTATCATTGAAAAACGTTTCGCAAACACAAATTAAGGCAGGTTTGTTTGACTCAACGTATAAAAAAAATTCGTTAAGTTTGTTGGCAAGACTTCTTGCGTTAAAAAGATAAACTGTAAAATTGTTGAACGAATTTGTGGTTAAGTGAGTTTATAAAGTTGCTACGTTTTGAACAGATAACCTTTTTAATGCTTTTGTTGTTTACAGCAGTAATATGTTGTTTACTAATGCTTGAAGCATGATTTTTTTGTAATGACTTCGGAATAACTAAAGAAGTTAATGAGCCGTCACTGTAATATTTTTGGTTTTTGCAATTATAAAATTATTGCTATTTGCTAATTTTTATGGCTTTTTCGTTTCGTATGACATAATAAAAAAGTAAGGGTTCTGAATTTTCTAAATTTTTTGTGTTTGCACTCCTCGCGTAATAACTTTGCTTTGTATCGCTCTGCCACAGTTAAATCGGGATTGATAAACACTTTATTAAACTCGGTTGAATTTTTTAAACTTTTTGCAGCTTTTAGAAAGGAATTTCTATAATTTCGCTTGTTAAGAACAATAACAAAAGGTGATTCTTTGTCGGATTTTGATTTTAATTTTATTATATGTTTAATTTCGATCTTTGTATTAATAGAGTTCATCATGTGGAGAATAGAATTTTTATCTTCTTCTCTAGCACTTGATAAATCTGCTTTTTTTGAGGCTTCGATACCAAACACTACAACGTTACTTTCCCGTTTTTCTCTTTCTTTTGCCTCGTCAACAACAACGTTCATTAAATGAAGCTGTTCGGCTGACCTTTTCTGTGGCATATTTCCACTAACAACACTAGCCCACGATATAGACGTGGAAGGTACAACTTTAGCTTTCTCTAGAACATTTAGTCTCTCGGTTAAAAGTAAATTACAATTTTTCAACTCGTCGATTGTTTTGATTAGTGATTTTATTAATTTACCTTGATATACTTTATATACATTAAAATTAGTTGATTGAACATTTACCGTGTTTGCAATTAATATTTTAATTAAATTTTATTTTTACTCGAACTTTTAATAAAAAAACTTCTTATTTGTAGTTAAACACGTCCGTTCACCACGCGTTTCTGGATGAAACAAAGTTGTACTTGTCCGGGCTGCATCAAAATCTAAATTGGATTCAGAGCCGTGGCTAGGCTCCACATCTCCCCCCCCCTCTTTCTTTTTTTTTACTTATACACTCTAAAAACGAGTCCGTTAAAATTAACGGAATTTTTAACGGAGTAGTCCGTTGTTTTATAGCTGAGTGAGTTGTCCGTAAAATTTACGGACTCAATATTTAACGGAGTCAGTCCGTTACATTTTTTTAACGGAACATTACGTAAAGTTTGCAGATAAGTCCGTTAAAAGGTTCCACTTTCTCACGTTTTAATTATACGCTAAAAGAAAGGACTTTTATGCAACTTTTTTTTCTTATGTTAGCAACTTAATAATTTTTTTATAAAACAAAATTATTAACATTAGAAAATGTTTATAATGTTAGTTGTATATGTAACTTCCTCAAGTTTTCAAAATATTTATTTCATTATATTTAATCAAATGATGATTATAATATAACCAAAATGAATTTCACATTTAAAGACTTTGTATTGGCTTATGTTAGAATCAGCACAAAAACGTTTATTCAAGTTTAAAATGTATTTATAATACCGTTTATAATTAAAATATATAAAAAACATAAGAAAAACATATAATATTGAGAAAAAAAAAATTATATATTGTTTATTTCTTAACTATCTTCAACATCGCTTGAAGCTGATAAACCGATGCTGGAAATGAGTGTTTTTCTCCCAAATTGTAAATTAATTGTAAAAATTTAAAAAAAGTCGCACATTCTTCGGTATACTCTAAGTTGAAACACCAAAAAAGTTTAAACAATCGCTCGATACCCTCTTCAATTGATGATCCAGCTGTAATTATGGATTTTTCAGCAGCTATTTTTACCAATAAAACTTTTTCATTGACGCTACCTTGTATCAGAAGCAATGGGTATGGTTTCCAACAGTTTTCTGCAGCTTCTGTCATGGAACTTCCTGGCTGAAATACAAAAAATAATCATTGGGTGACTTAAAGTAAAATTATTTGCTATACTAACTATTTCATATTTTTATTTTGTTCTGCAGTATAAGGTAAACATAACACATAGTCATCGTGTACTATAAATACTTTATTAAACATGGATTATAAGATTTTGTATTACAATTTCTGGATTTATATTTGTATAGCATTTATTTCATTATACTTACGTACCAACAGCCCCATAAGGCATTGAAACAGTACAAAAAAATTAAATTAAAATTTAGTAAATGGAAATTAGTTATATAATATAGTTATATATAACATATATTATATTATATATTATATATAATATAATACAGTTAGTCACTATTTATTTATAAAATTATTACATAATATGGATGAAAAGGTTAAATTTTTTTTATCTAATTACAAATTGGGAAAATTATAAAAAATAACCTCAATAATCCTCATTAAATGGTCGAAAGACTCCAGTCCTGAAATCCTTTTCCGTTTCACGGTTGTTCTCAGCATAAGTGAAATAATTTTGCAAGCATGATACGCATGCCAACCTTTAAAATAGAATAATTTGAGCAGTCATGGTTTGGTTCTGATTTTTGAATAAAACACAACAAAGTTGTAATGCTACACAATATCAGCATTTATTATTTAAACAAAAACAAAGAGTAAATACTCTTCTCTCAGTTCATTTCTCTAATTACACTTTTCTATTAATCCATTCTATTAATCCATTTCTATTAATCCATTTATATTATCTTTTGTCGCAGTTCATTCCTCTTGTATTTTTTTCGCAGTTCATTCCTCAAAAAACGTTTAAATACAAAATCTAAAGAAAAATAATAATAGAAGAAAACTCACCATTATCGCCTCTTTTAGCATCGGCTGCTATCAGTTCTATTGATTTATCTCCTGTTAATTCCAATGCTGGGATTAAAATTTCTGTCCGAAATACTGATAAAAAATCTGTAGTGCAGTCAGAAAACATCATTTGAAGTTCGACATCTAACTGTAATATAAAATATATATTGCACATTATTATGCCACTTACATGCTTTATAAAATGTCAATTTCATGAAAGCAATAAAAAAATTCTTGTAAATCATGTGAGTTTTTTTAAATACATGTATTTTTATTTTTGTAAATTTAAATGGCTTTTCAAAAATGTACACTTAACACAAGTTTTAGAATACTAAATTATAAAATACTAAACTATAATAAAAATATTATTATAAAAAACTATTATAAAAATACTAAATAATAAATTTAGAATACTTACTAGTTCTGGAATGGTTTGAAATTTTGGATACATTTTTAATATGGAAGACAAGGTGGGTGATTCATTCATTATCCAAAATTGTCTAATGCAAAAGGTTTTTTCCAGACACTCCTTAACTTCATGCGTACGAGTACTTGATAAAAATGCAAGCATTTCTACATCTCTTATATTATCATTACCTTTACATACAAGATATAAACATTAAAAAAATATATATACTTTTTATACAAATTAGTTATTCTTAATCTTGAATGTGCAATAAAAAAATGTATAAAACCTATACAAACCACAGCTATATATAGTAACAGACTGAGAATTAAAAAAAAAATTGGCGCTAATTTAACAACAGTTTCTAAATTATTTTAGAAATTAACAAAAGTCTTTAATAAACTTGAATAAGAAGTTTAAATCATTAACTACATTCTCTGTCGCAACAAAAATTATTACCCTTGCAAACAACACAATCAGTTAGTTTTCTGGGACACCCATCAGATGAAGCAGCTGTTTGGGAAGATACACAGGTTTCTCTATTTTCAGCAAAAGCTAAACAATTGAACAGAATAAGTAAACAGTATTAAATTAAAAGAAAATTTTATGATAACAATTCTTAGAACATAAAAGAATAACTGAATCAAAAAAATGAAATGTTTTTACTTAATGACTTTAGTTCTGATTTTTTGTATTTGGTAGGTGTAGCTTTATCACAATTTAGGGGTCTCTTTTTCCAGTTATAAACTTTGCGATTGTCTGGAAATTTATTAATAAAAAATATTTAATAGAACCATTTGCAATGCTAACATTATAACCAACATATTCAACAAGTATACTTACCATCCCAATCTCTTCTAGCATTTTCTGTACCCCGCTGTAAAAATCCTGAATATGTAGACGGATCAAAGAAAATAATTGCCTCCATACTAAATAGTTGCCCTAGCAAACTAGCAACATCTTCTTTATGCCTACGTGTAGGATAATTTCCAAAAACATTAATCATTTTACGAACAACCAGTCGAGTAATTGCCTGGCGAGCCAAAATAGTAAATACTACTGTTTCTAAAATCGATTTGACATAATCTGTTGTGACCTCAAAAATAAATATACAATATCAATGTACTATTCAACAACTTTATTATTAGTCAAACTAAATTAATTAAAATACTGTTTAACAAAAATTCAAATTAGAAATTTTTAGTTAATTCTACACTTGACAAATTTCAATTTAAGTCAACACCTGAGGTATTTAGATATCTCTAAATTAAAACATTATTATAAACATGACCTTTTGTTACAAAAACGTAAGAAAGACTAACTGGATGTTTTAAAAGGTAATGTTTGAAGGTCTGCATACTAATAAAAGGATTCACATTGTCAGATTCGGAAGACCCAATGCCAATTGAACTAGAAGTTGAACACATAATTCCAGTTGAACTTGAAGTTAAGCACCCAATACCGATTGAACTAGAAGTTGCTTCTTGAACTGTAGCAGGAGTACATTGCTAAATAAATAAAATTACATAAACCATTACACATCAGGAATATAACGTAATTTTTTTACTCAAAATGTTCATAAATTGTATTCTTTAATTTGAAAGAATCTACCTGTGGCAGTCGCTTAGTCCATATCTCACCATTCACCAGAAGAGTGTAAATTAAACTACTTCCTATTGCTTGCATCATTTCAAATGAACATTCAACCTCTGATCCATCTTCCTCAACGACCAATCTTATTGAATCATTGGTGGAAAGGTTGAACTTTGTTTTAACTGTTAATAAGTATAATAGAATGAATCGAAATACACAAGTGATAACATTAACAAATAAAAGTAAATAATACAAGCTTTTCAAAATAATACTGTAAATTTTGATTTTTAAATAATTAAAAAAAAAATGGATACTTTATATAGGTAACTTTTAATGCTACAATCTTATTAGTAAAAGATGACAAAATAAAATAATTTAAGAATATTTATTCAAATTAAATCATTAAAATAAAGAAAACTAATTTAAATTAATTTGTAGTGAGTGCTAATAAAGGTTATTTTCTCATTCTCATATACTACTGAATGTTTGGCTAATGGATGATAGTCTTTTATGTTACGCGATAGAACAACCTCTACCAAAGATGTTTCACTGACAACAAATGAGTAGAAGTGGTCATCAAAGTGGAGTGTTTGCAATAACTCAAAGACAAAGTAAATCTTTTTCGAAACTGAAATAATTTTCAATAGCTTTCCAAACTGTGGAAGACCATTTTCAAGAGAAACTATAAGAAAACAACCCGGTTTTATTTTATAATGACCAAAATTGAATGAATTTGCTACACAGATTTCATCTTGCATCTCAAGTTTTAGTGACAAGCACACAGCATAACTCACATTATCACCAATACTATACAATTTCTCTTGTATACAATAGCCAAGAGTTTCCGGTGATACATAGATATTATTAGACATCAAGGAAAAAGCAAGAGAAAACTGTGTTCTGGTTGCAATTGTTTTGCAAATATTTTTAAAATGCATCCTTTTTTAATTCCTGTTTCTGAAGGATTATAATTTGGTGTATGAATTTTAGAAACAATTTCATTATATTCTGCTTTAGTTCTTCGGTGTAAACTGTCACATCTAAATATCTTTTGACTATCAGTTTTATTAACTGTGCAAAATCTGCAAAACTTATTGGCAGAAAAACTTTCTAAAAACCCAAACAGTGAATGAGCTCCAAGATTATCGGCTGAAAACATTGCAAGAATAGCATGAAGTTGAACAGGTTCTTTATCTATATTAACAGTTATCCCTTCTTCTGACTCTAACTGTTTTAATTGCTTTACTACAGGTTCAAAGATTTTTTCATAGCCATACTTTTTGACATCTGCAGCAAACCAAAGTGCAACCAGAAATATACTGGACACTTTTGAATTAAATTCAGGTGGAATATTTGCAATCATACAATATAGTCCTTCTAACTTATGGACTGCTGTATGGCTTCCTAGCGGATTACAAGTTTCAAATGCATCTACAAAAAAATGTAGAGCTAAGCCTTTTGGATGTCGAACAAAGAAATCGTTACTTTTGTATGTTTTTGTGTCCATATACTTTTTAATTTTTGAAACTGGTTCAGGACTGCTAAGACTAGGGAAATATTCTCTAGCTTTAAAAGTGCTGTATTTTTGGCAGCTGATATACCATTAAGGTCAATATCATCACACAGTTGCTCCACAACTTGTACGGAAAAAATTTTTATATCATCCAACAGTCCCTGCATATTTTCAGTAACCATTTGCACATTTTTTTGAGTTATGTTAGCTTTACTCAAAAGAC